AGGGCCTCCACACCTTCACAATAAGGAATTCTCTCTAATATTGAATCTAAAACCCCCTCTCTGTCAGTGGGAAGCCATTCCCACTGGTGTATCACTCCAGGCCCTTGTCCAAAGTCCCTCTCCAGCTCTCTTGGATCCCTTTTAGGCACTTCAAGGGACTTTATACCCTCCCTGTAGCTTTCTCTTCTCCAGGCTGAAAATCCCAGCTCTCCCAGCCTGGCTCCAGAGCAGAGGGGCTCCATCCTTCTGATCCCCTTGGTGGCCTCCTCTGGACTTGCTCCAACAGCTCCATGTCCTTCCTGTGCTCTGCAGGTGGGGTCCCACCTGAGAGAGGCAGAGGCGCAGAACAGCCCCCTCAGCTGCTGCCCACCCAGCTGTGGATGCAGCCCAGGACACACTTGGATTTCTGGGCCCTGTCCACTCTCTCATCCACCAGAACCTCCAAGTCCTTCTCCACAGGACTGCCTTCAATCTGTTCCTCCACCAGCCCAGACACCAGGGGTCGAAACACATGACCAACCATGCCCTGGGTGGAAAGATGCAGTCATCCATCCATCCATCCATCCATCCATCCATCCATCCATCCATCCATCCATCCATCCATCTATCCATCCATCCATCTATCCATCCATCCTTCCTCACTGGAACCAAACCTGGCCACACAAGTCCTTTCCAGTGCAATCAGCCTTTGCCCTGACAATGACGATTCCAACCCTAAAAAAACAACAGAGGCTCCTCCTACCTATCTAAAACCCTCAGGTCTCACCAATTTCCAGTCCTCTGAAGCACCAGCAACCCTTGGAAGGTCCATAAAAACCCAAGTGAGAGTCACCCAGCTCACCCCACTGCACAGAGCAGGTGAACTGTAGGAAGGAGGATAATAAAGAAAAAAAGTTAATTACAAGTTTTTAACAGTTCATTTAACTTTCATCGAGCAGAATGTGTTTATGGTACAGGCAGGGAATCGAAAGTATTATTTTTATCTTGATATTATTTGCCCTTTCACACTTGCTATTTAAATATTCCTGAAATCCTAGAAGAACCAACAATTCAAAATATCATTTGAGATATATATATATATATTTTTATAAGGAAGGGGAAGCACAGACTCATTAATTTTCAGCTTCCCTCTTTTTTTGTTTTTTTTTAATTACATATTAAGTGCTGTAATATCAATGTAAAAATTTATCAAGCTACTGAATATTTATTTTTCCTCCACTCCTGGCAAAGAGTCTCCAGACCCAGAGCAAGCAGGGAGGCCTGATCACACCAGAGGGTTGTGTGATGAGGAGTAAATGATAAGAGGTTTAAAAAATTTTAAAGAAATAAATAAACAAATCAAGAGAGCTGTGGGAAAATGAATGAGGTTGCTTGAAAAAGAGAGAATGGGAATAAAATATTGTAATAATGAAATCTATGTTCTACCAGTCTCTTTCAGCCAATCTCAACTAAATAACTTAGAGAATCACAAAACATTTTGGGCTGGAAGGGACCTTTAGGTTCATCCAGTCCCACCCCCTGCCACGGGCAGGAACACCTTCCATTATCCCAGGCTACTCCGAGTCCCATCCAACCTGGCCTTGAGCATTTTCAGGGATGAGCCATCCACAGCTTCTCTGGGCAGCCTGGTTCATTGCCTCACCACCCTGTAACTCCTGCTTTAGACACAATAACAGGAGGGAACAGGGATGAAATCTGAACCAGAAGTCTGGATCAAGCAGGAAATGTGGCCGCACTGATCAGCCTCTCCCGTATCCATCAAAGCTGTGTTAGTAGTTAAGCTAATTTTTAGTTCCATCAATAAACAAAAGCAAACCAGGAAGGTGGGAGGCCTTGGAGAGGTGATTTGTTGCATGGATGACCACTGAAAAGTGGGAATCAGCACATCTGACACCCTAGAAGAAGTCCAGAAACCAGACTGAGGATGAGAGGGAAAAGGATGTCGCAGCTGGCAAAGATGGCAGAGCAGGAAGGCAACAAGGGGTCAGACAGCAATGCCCTGACACATCAGGGATTTAAAAACCTGAACTTGCATCAACACAAAGAGGAGGGATTTTTCAGAAAGGTAATAGGAGGAGGGGGAATATCACTGAGGTAAACGAGGGTAAATTTAGATTGGATTTTAGGAAGAAATTCCTACTGACAGAGTGGGGAGGCCCTGGCAGAGGCTGCCCAGAGAAGCTGTGGCAGCACCATCCCTGGAAGTGTTCAAGGCCAGGTTGGATGGGGTTTGGAGCAACCTGGGACCAAGGAAGGTGTCCCTACCCATGGCAGGGGGTGGAAGTAGATGGTGTTTAAGGACCCTTACAACACAACCCAATCTATGATTAACAATCCAGGCAACATCCAGAGTTCAGCCTGGAGATGAGATGGAAAAGGGCATCACAGCTGGAGAAGACAGCAGAGCAGGAGAGCATCAAGGGGTCAGACAGCAGCTGGGCTGGGTCAGTGGTGATTTAAAGATCAGAAACACCTGCAGGGACACCTGGACCACAGCAGAGCAGGACTGAGCACTGTATTTTCACAGCCCCTCTGCAAATGGGAAAACCAACCTGGAAAAAGGGATAAATGCTTGATGAAGTATAAACCTTACTGCTAAACAAAAAACAAAAAAAAAAAACACAAAAAAAAAAAAAAAAAAAAAAAAAAAAAAAAAAAAAAAAAAAAAAAAAAAAAAAAAAAAAAAAAAAAAAAAAAAAAAAAAGGTGGGGGAAAACCATCATATTTTAATCAATCCTTTCCACTCCACAGCACACAGCTAGTAAAAATTGAGGATTCAGCCTTTGTGCCAAACGAAGCACAAAGCAAAACTTGAGGCCACCACCCCACGCAAGGGTTTGCAAACAAACATCTCCTTGTTCCTGCAGCACTCCCAATCACAAAGATGCACCTCAAGCTCCAAAATGTCACAAAAAACTTCAAAAGCTAACAAGAAGAGGGTTCTGCGGGGCGTATTCAGCATGCTGGTGGCAGAATGAAACGTGCTTTTAGCTTTCCAAACCGTCTGCTTTTTGATATGCAGACAAAGCCACCGAGCACTTCCATGGGAACACGAGGTTTCCCCAGCAAAGTCCACTCCAGCGCCAGATGCCGGAGGTTAATTGTACCCCACAGCTCGGGGGAGCTTTTATTAAAAGCTTCAAACCACAAACACTTTTCCAAGTACAAAAGCAACCAAAAAAAAAGTTTCTGCAGTCATCTGAGGGCCACCGCAGAAAGCAGAGCTTTGTACATTTAAAAGTGGTTCTATTTCCTCTCCTTGTACTTCCAAATCCATCCCACTGCCTCAAGCTCCCGAATGAGCCTGGAAGAAGGAAAAAATAATAAATAAACAACATCACAGCCTTTGGGACATGAAAATTGACCAAAAACCTGGCAGGCAACAAGCCAGGAGCAGTTCCCACTGTTGTCATTATGCCGAAAATTGATAAACTGGGGTTCCTTCCTGAGCAGCTGCGGGACAGTGGCGAACTGTGCAGGGACATCCCATCCTCACCCAGTCACCAGTGACATGGGACACAGGTGTGGGCCACAGCACCCTCACACACGTCCTTCCCTGCTCACAGCCCTGGGCAAGGCCAACCCTGTCCCCAAATCACTCATTAGAAACATAAACCACTGTGCAACAGGAGCCACAGTCCCAAATTTCCACCTACAGTCGCTGTGCCAGCCTAAGCTCTGTCCCCATGTTACACACTGGCCCCTGTGCCAGGGCACTCCTGTCCCCATGTCACCATGTTACACACCCCCTGTGCCATGCCCTGTCCCCATGTCACACACACACCCTGTGCCAGGCCAGCCCTGTCCCCATGTCACCATGTTACACACCCCCTGTGCCATGCCCTGTCCCCATGTCACACATACACCCCCTGTGCCATGCCCTGTCCCCATGTCACACACATACACCCTGTGCCAGGCCAGCCCTGTCCCCATGTCACACCCCACTGTGCTAGCCCTGTCCCCATGTTACACACTGCCCCCTGTCACACACGCACCCCCATGCCATGCCCTGTCCCCATGTCACCATGTCACACACACCCCCTGTGCCAGGCCCTGTCCCCATGTCACACACACACACCCTGTGCCAGGCCAGCCCTGTCCCCATGTCACCATGTGACACACACCCCATGTGCCAGGCCCTGTCCCCA